CCGCTTGGGAAGGTCCTCTCTCTCTCTCTCTCTCTCTCTCTCTCTCTCAACTCCACCCCTGTCTCGCTCGGGGAGCCCGTCGCCGGGCCCGGTCCGCACGCCGCAGCACAGGGGGCGACAACCCGAGGCAGCGGGATAAATAGGCAAAAGCATTTTCGAATACACAAACTAACGCGACGAGATGAAGTAAAAGATTTAAGGAAGGAGGAGGGGGAGGAGGGGGTACGAACTACTGGTAGAGACAATCTTAGGGACTGTCGAAAAAAAGTAAAATCACAAATACGCCTTACGGGCAAGCGAATGCGTCTTTCCCTTTCGGTTTGGTTCCTGCCAACATCTTTCTCTCGGCTCTATGCTCGCGCTACAGGGGATCGCATGGCTTCGAGCGGCTCGATGTCCGAAGGCTATTCTTACCGATCATATTTCTCCTCTCCCGCACGCACCACCGCCGTGCCACCTGCACCTGAGCCCCCCTCTCCCTCTCTCTTTCTCATTCACCGCGCCTTTTCTCCCTTCGCTTCCACTCTCTTTTTCCCTGTAACGGCAGTGTACCTTTTAGACCGCGGGAACGCCAAGCGCTGCTCCTTGCAGGGGTCTTTCGACTAGGTTCGAGCAGGAGCATGTTCACTACTATCCCGCGAAGAAAACAAATACAGCTCGAGGAAAGCTCGGAAATTTTGAAAGCATTGATATTTTTTAAAAATGAAGGCATAGGAGCAAAATTGTGAGAAGACCAGGAAAAACTAACATAATGCCGTAATAATCGAACGAACTTATAAAAGGCTAAAGAAAGCCAAGGCCAGGGAAACTTGAACGTACACCGCCGGACCCCTCGTCCCTCGTCCTTGCAGCCTCGCGGTTAGGAGTAGGAGGGAAGGGGGGGGGGGTCGAGTGAGAAAGAGGAAAGGGGGAGAATAGTAGGTGAAGATGAGAGGGGAGCGGGCCTCCAGGTTTGGAGGTATTTTTAGAACTACAAAAATATGCACACTCGCGCTCCCCAACCTCTCCCTTTCCTTTCTTTCTCTCCCCTTCTACCGATTCTCTCTCTCTCTCTCTCTCTCTCTCTCTCTCTCTCTCTCTCTCTCTCTCTTGCTCACCTGAGAGGAGAGGGACCTAACGCACCCCACTCCCTTTCTTTCTCTATCTGCCCTGGACCTGACTAGACTTTGCAGGCTGTGGTGTACAAAGCGATCGTTCGAATCTGGGCCAGTTGGATCAGGATCATGTCCTCTCCTTCCCCCCCCCTACACTGTTAAAAAATATTGTAAAATTATCACACCCTTTGTAATGACTAGTGTGTTAAAAAAACAACATCGTT